TAAGTTATGAAAAGGATCGAGTCATTCACCTAAAATACCTGCAGGGACAAATAACATACTCAGTCTTTATGGGGTATCATCCAGTATTATATTTATTAGAATATCATTCATTTACTTCTTTGGTTTGACTAGATAAGTTCAAGGATATCTTCTTTGAGACCCTGGGCTCACAATTTCGAGGCAATGAAGCGATCGATGAACTGCAAGATCGGCTGCCTGAGTTCGGGGGAAATCCAGTGTTGTTGGTTCTGGATGATGTTTGGCCCGCCTCAAAAAATGTTGTTGAAGAGTTTAGGGTCCAAATATCAGCAGGCTCTAAAATTTTCGTGACTTCAAGAGTCCCAATTATCACACTCGGACGATACCCCATGGAACAACTTTCTGAAGATGATGCAGTGGCTCTTTTCCTTCACTTTATTCAACCAAGCGACATTGATTTTGATGACAACGAAATACGAAAAATTGTCCTGCAGGTGACACATATAGTATATTCATTTATTTTTCTCCCAATGATTTCTGTGAGATGTGATAAGACATGATGAGTCAAAACTCTGTTGCTTCCTCTCATATTACAGGCTAGTTAATTAACTACAACACTGGCACTTTAGATAATGCATGTGAAATGGAAAACTAAAAATGATGGCAGTATTCTGTGGAGAGCATATTCTGGCACATAAAGGAATCAAGGTCATAAGTCATAACCTTAATTAGAGTCACTGATTTTATTTGGTTGACTGAAATGCAGATAGTGAAAGGTTGTAAGCGTCTGCCACTTGCTCTTGAATTCATTGGTCGCGAACTACAAGATAAGGGTATTGAGGAGTTGCAAAAAGTACAGTTAGAATGGTCACGTGGCCAGTCTATCCTTGATTCGAATTCAGAGTTGCTTGCCCATCTCCAAAATTCCCTGAATCTGCTAGTAGATGAGTCCATCAGGGAATGCTTCATGGACCTTGGATTGTTTCCTGAAGATCAAAAGATACCTGTTTCTGCTTTGATTGACATCTGGACAGAACTTTATAACCTTGATGAACTTGGCATATGTGCAATGACCATCATCCGCAAATTGATGGACCTGAATCTGGCTGCTGGCATCAAAGTTAGAAGGTATATATGCATGTACTGCATATTGGAATTTTGAGATATAGGCATATATGAGGTTTGAATCTGATATGATTTCCCTTAACATGATATACCTTCAATTCTTTCTCTAATTAATCAATGTGTGGCTCTTTTTAATGTATTCTCTAATATCCTTTCTGCTACTTTATTCTTCTTCTTTGCCTAGGCTTTTGCTTCTTTTGAGTTTCAAAGGCCTCAGGTTCACAATTATTTCTGATATATTCTCTAATAATGCATTCTTCCATCATAGTCCGCTTTGGCTGTAAGTTGGGGACAAATTCATGCATAGGTTTTTAATCTTCTTACATTTGGGTTTTCATTCCTGTTTTCTGCAGGATAGTCAGGATCAGGAGGGTTGAAGACAATTACTACAATAACCACTTCCTCGTGCAGCATGATCTTTTCAGAGAGTTGGCCATACATATAAGCAACCAAGAACTATTTGAGAATAGGAAAAGACTGATCATTGACATGAATGGGAATGATCATCCACAATGGTGGCCTCAGCAGAACCAGCAGGAAGGCATCACTGCTCACGCCCTGTCCTATTTTACCAAATGGTTTAAGGATCCGAATCAGAAATGCGTATCTGCTCGTATACTGTCTATATCAACAGGTTTGCTTATCTCTTTTGATATTGAATCAATGCACATCACTAAACTAAGAAGATAACATCCATCCTTTTTCACATTTGATGCAGACCAAGACATCAATCCCGATTGGTGCAACGTTCAAGCAGATGATGCTATTGTTCTGGTTTTGAATCTGAGAACTACAAAATACACTTTACCTGAATTCATTAAGCAAATGAGAAATCTGAGAGTTCTTATAGTGACAAATTATGGCTTCCGTCCCTCTGAGTTAAAAAACCTTGAGCTTCTCGAGTTTCTAAGGAAACTCAAAAGAATCAGATTGGAGGGGGTTTCAGTTCCTCCCCTTTGCAGATTGAAGAACGTGTGCAAGTTATCGCTTTATATGTGTGAAGTGAAAAAGGCTTTTGAAACCAGTTCCATTGAATTCTCAAAGGCAATGCCTGGTCTGGTGGAATTGAACATTGATTACTGCAAAGATTTGGCGAAGTTGCCATCTGGGCTCTGTGACACTACCACCCTGAGGAAGCTCAGCATCAGTCATTGCAATGAGTTTAATGAACTTCCACAAGAAATTGGGAAGCTTGAGAAGTTGGAATTACTAAGGATTAGTTATTGTCCTGATATTAAAGATATGCCAGAGTCGATCACAAAGCTGAAGAATCTAAGCTTTCTAGACATCACTTACTGTGGAAGCCTTAGGAAATTACCAGACAAGATTGGTGAGCTAAGGAGTCTGAGAAAGTTTTATATGCCGAGCTGCGCAATAATGGAATTGCCAGACTCAATCAAGGATATGGACAATCTCCAGAGTGTGATATGCGATGAGTACACATATCCTTTTTGGGAAGTCATCAAATATATCCACTCTGGACTAAACATAAAGATAGCCAAAACCATGGACACTGTCTTGGATTGGCTTCTTGATTTGAGCTCCAGGGGCTTGTTCCATTAAGTTGCTCATCTTGTTATGAATCATGTCAAAACAATGTTGTTCATCCTTCTCTGTCTCTCTTGTTTTGTCTTCTGACTTTGTAATGGGACTAAATCACACTCCTTCAATTGGACAAAGTATAAACATAAGATCAGATCAGACACACAACATGAAGCAGATGTTTAAGAATTTCATTTTAGTAAAAATTAATACTCCTCTTATCCTAAATATAAAATCTTTATACACATTACAAAAAAAGTCTCATATTTAGAACCGGAGGAGTAATATATTCTCCCCTTTTTATCAATTTTTATTATAATAATGCAATAAAAATTGTATAACTTTTAAAATAGTTGTAGTTGTTACAATTTAATCTTTAATGTCACATGATGAAGTTATTAAACGTCCTAAATATTTCATTGTTTTGAAGGAAAGAACCACATATATAGTAAAAATATTTTTTTAAAATTAAATCTAAATCTATTAACTGTTAATATAATTTATTCTTAAAAAAGCAGAAGACCACAATTTAAAAATATAAACCAAAATTAGACAAGACAAATATAAGTAAGACCATATTTCTTTGCACATTTTCTTTCATATTTATTATAAGGGAATATTTAAAAGTAAAAGTATATTTTTAACATATGTATTAATTTTAATTAACTTTAACTAATTATTTATTATTTATAAATTAGTTATTTAAAATTTATAACGATGAATGGAGGAAGAAATAGAGAGGCGCGAAGGGATCGGGGCCAATAATTGAAGTGGGAAGGAGGGTGGAGTTGGAGTTGCACCGACACAAACGGATGAGCATGGACTTACGAAAAGTCCTATAATAATTAAATACTGAAATAAAATATTTTTAAAGGAAAAAACACGGAATTTAAAGCCCGCATCCAGAAGGTCGTGCCACGGCTTCCCCACTCCAATGAACATCGTGAAATGAGCTTCTACTGACTCCCTCACTTCTCTATCCACGTGGATGTTCTCCCCATCAATCACGTGGACCCCACCCCCAGTTAATCCCACCTTAATCACACTCACCCGCCCTGCATCCACTTTTCTCGTCATTATCTCCTCCTCCATTCTTCCTACTTCTTTCCAACCTTCACTGTCATTCTAGCCTCTTTCCCTTTTTATTAGTGTTAGATTATTCTTTCGAATGAGATGATGGGTAAATATGCCGAAACAATCATCATTTATAAATATTTCAAAAATTGAAGTAAATACTTCCAAAATTTTTCCCCAGTAAAAAAAATATTAATCATGTGTAATTAAGTCTAGAAATTACATTTACCTTAAATTTAAATATTATGGATAGTTCGAATGATGATTACATTATGAAGAAACCCATGTGTTGGGATGCTCTTCATTATTTATTAATACTCTAACTATTTTTAATATAAGACTTATTTTACAGTATAATTTAAATTAGACATAGGAGGAATTATATATGTCTTTTAAGGAAGAGAAGACAATTATTGTAGTTGGGAGGGTCTTAAGACAGCGAAACACCAGCTTATTGTACAGGATAGGACGCCATTCTTCTACGCCATTATCATTTCAAAGTTCACACCCATTTGCCCAGGCACATGGCACCCTCAGAAGGCCCCAAAAAACGGAGGAAGGACGCTTCTCCTTTAAAGGTTTTTTTTTTATGTGTTTATTAAACAAAATAGCTTATTTTCGGATTGACTCTTATTTTGTCCAAGTCTCTGACTGATTTCCTTGTAAATTTCCCCTTAGAAATATTATGTGATCGTTAGTCTGTCAAATCAGGGCACTTTGCCCGCCAGAGGAATCAATCCTCATCCCCTCCAACACTTTGTCAAAGAAAATATTACTCTTGTCCTTATTATAACTTACTTGTAAGAAAAATTTTGTTTACCTTAAACACAGGTTACTTATAAAATATTTCATAATTACTTTTTACTTTTTGTTCAAAAAATATAAGAATAATTTGTCAGCGTAAACACAAAAAACATTTTAAAAAAAGTAAATTTAAAATTTTTTATTAATTTAATATACTTCGTGAAAATAAGTTATAAGTGATGAAGTTGTAACGTATATATTCGACATCTTATTCTCATACAAATTACTCTATGCATTTATCCTTTTTACTTAAAACAAATCATTCTTTCTTCTTTTTTTTTATTTGGCTCAAAACAACTCAGTTGCCATAATTTTGAATCGATAATGAACAGAAAGCTCAACAACTAAGCATGATATTTAAAATTCAAAAAAAAAAAAAAGGAGCTTTCTTCTATATGATTTTCCCAAATAAAAATTTATTCCTAGCCCTGAATGATGGATTTTAACATTGAAGATGAAGATGGATGGTTTGAAAATAATATAAATGGGACAGATCAAATAGGGATTATTTTAAACAAGCATAATTTAGATATTAGGACAAAAGAATTGATCCTATGGAGTGGACAAAAGCTCAAGACATAAAATACATTACAACTGTGTCCTCCTACACTTCAGCAATCTCGGTTGAATTTACAAACATTAAGATTTAAGTATCACCAAACTTTTCCAGCAAATAAAATAAAATTAAAAACCATGACTTCAATTGGGGAAAAAAAATAAGAAAAAGAAAATAAAAGTAATGATAATCATAGCATGACACACCTCTGAGCAACTTCTGTGTGCTGTTCTTCTTCATCTTCATCCAACAGTCCATTTCCAGATCTTGAATCTAACATCGACCTTGCACTTGGCGTTTGAAGTTGACGCCGTCACCGGCTTCTTGCCGGACGGAGGAGTGACCTTGATCCCGTCACAGGATACTCTGATCCCGACTTTGGGCGTCTTCAAACTCCCCATCTTCGCCGTCACCTTCGTCTTCAAATTTACCTCTAATGGCAATCCACCCTTGCTCTTCATGCTCGACTTCAATTTCCCAGCACTCTCGCCGTCCACCGTCTGCTTGCTGCTCGAAACCGTAGCCTTCAACATCGTGGTGTTCTTCTTCCCGTGTTCGAAAGCGGGGATCGTGCCGTCGCCGATATCGACGCCGTCAGAGAGAATCGAAATCGAGGTGGGCTCGTAGTTGAAGACGATGTTCTTGTTAGGGTTTCGCGCGGTAACGCTGATGTCGAATTTAGAGTCTACCGTTGAAGACGAGGAAGTGAGGTTAAGGTAGGCGAGTTTCAGGGAAGTGACAGTGAAGGTAGGCCTGTGTGGGCGGTAGATTAGGTAGAAAATAACTCCGGCGACGCCGATGATGAGGAGGAGGATGAGGATGATGAGGAGAAACCAGTATAAGAATCTGCAGCAGCATCTGCGATGGCTACGGCGGTGGTGAGGTTGGGGACGGTAGGTAGGTCTGGTGGCGCCGTAGAGTTGAGCTTTGGTAGCAGGAAATGAAGGATTAGCGGCACCACCGTTGGTAGTGGCGGTGCCGTTAGCCGTAGGCTTGGCGGAAGGATAGATCCTCTCTGCCATGGAACCAGTGTAGAAGGAAGAAGAAGAAAAGGAGAGAGAGAGAGGAATGAAGTGGAGAAGAGAATTAAAGACTAAAGAGAAAGGTACCTGTTATCCTTCTAAATTATGAGAGAGATGGAGATTAAAAGGTCTATAAGTGAAGAAAAAGGTCATTGCGTTTGTGTTTATTATTATTATTTTTATTATTAGCAAATAATAATATCAAATTATTATAATGAAATTACATTAAATCTCGAGTCTTCAACGTTTTTTAGTGTACCATTCAGAGAAACGGCTATTTTTTATGGTGAAATGACAGATAAAGAAGCTCCAAAATGTGAAATATCAATTTGGGAAGCTAAGAAATGTAATTACCCATAGGGAAGTCCTTCCAAATTGGGATTTTGAATTCAGTGAAATGACAAAAATGCCCTTTGTTTCTTTTTTTTTTTTTTAAAAACCACCCCTCACCGGCGGCCGGCGACCGGCGACCACCGCCGGCGACTGGCCTCCGGCGGCCGCCGACCGCCTCCGGCCACCGGTCCGGCCACCGGTGTGGTGGCTGCCGGTGAAGGATTTTTGTGACAAGATTTTTTTTTTTTTGGGAATAGGATAATATTGGTTCAAAGTGGCGGGGGTGGGATTTGATCCCACAACCCCTTGGCCACTTGGACTAACAAAAGGATGGCCATTGGACCATCAAAAATTTCTTAACCTTATAATGCAAACAAAAATATAAGTTAACTCTTTTACTGTGACTCCAGCTCGTGACAACAATTTATCTGAGGATGACAAGTCTTAATTGAGAAATAACAAGTCTAAATTTGATATTAACAAAACAACTTTTCCTTATACATAACATAGCAGCATGTGCATTAATTAAAAATGATCATAATTTATTTAAAAATGACACGTCTTTACTATAAAATGACAAGTCTAAAATTGATATTAACAAGACAACTTTTCCTTATACATAACAAGAATAGCATCTACGTAATTAAAAATGACCATAATTTATTTGAAAAAAACACGTCTTTACTGGAAAATGACAAGTTTAAATTTGATATTAACAAAGCAACTTTTCGTTATACATAACAAGAAATACCGAATAAATTATGATCATAATTTATTTAAAAATGACACGTCTTTGTTGAAAAATAACAACAATTTATTCGGTATTTCTTGTTATGTATAACGAAAAGTTGCTTTGTTAATATCAAATTTAGACTTGTCATTTTCCAGTAAAGACGTGTTTTTTTCAAATAAATTATGGTCATTTTTAATTAACGTAGATGCTATTTCTTGTTATGTATAAGGAAAAGTTGTCTTGTTAATATCAATTTTAGACTTGTCATTTTATAGTAAAGACGTGTCATTTTTAAATAAATTATGATCATTTTTAATTAATGCACATGCTGCTATGTTATGTATAAGGAAAAGTTGCTTTGTTAATATCAAATTTAGACTTGTTATTTCTCAATTAAGACTTGTCATCCTCAGATAAATTGTTGTCACGAGCTGGAGTCACAGTAAAAGAGTTAACTTATATTTTTGTTTGCATTATAAGGTTAAGAAATCTTTGATGGTCCAATGGCCATCCTTTTGTTAGTCCAAGTGGGCAAGAGGTTGTGGGATCAAATCCCACCCCCGCCACTTTGAACCAATATTATCCTATTCCCAAAAAAAAAAAATCTTGTCACAAAAATCCTTCACCGGCAGCCACCACACCGGTGGCCGGAGGCGGTCGGCGGCCGCCGGAGGCCAGTCGCCGGCGGTGGTCGCCGGCCGCCGGCGGTGGTCCGGCCGCCGGCGGTGGTCGCCGGCCGCCGGCCACCGGTGAGGGGCTGGGTTTTTTTTTTTTAAAAAAAAAAGAACAAAGGGCATTTTTGTCATTTCACTGAATTTCAAAATTCCAATTTGGGAAGGACTTCCCTATGGGTAATTACATTTCCTTAGCTTCCCAAATTGACATTTCACATTTTGGAGCTTCTTTATCTGTCATTTTCCCAAAATATAAATGATACCGTTCATTATTTATAAATAAAACTTTATATTTAATTTAAAATAATATGTTTTTTTAATGAGTTTATGGTACAGTTTTAATTTAAAAAGAAAAAGACAAAAGAAAAGCGGAGGAAGAAAAAGGAGAATAGTGAGGTAGGACGGATGGGAACGTTCCAACGAGAGACAAAAGCTGTGTCCAGCTCGTAGTGAGCGCGTGCGGAATCTATACCAACCTCTGCGTCTCATTTATTATTTATTTATTTATTTATTTTACTTTTGGTCAATTTGGATCATTTTCTATTTTTTTTAGAAAAAAACAAAATGATATCCGATGCTCCTCCCGTCCTCCGGTCCTTGATTTTGAATAAAATATATTTATTAAATTGATTTTAATTCTAAATATAAAATTTATTTTTTGTATTTATTAATTTTTTTAAATTATTTATATAGATATTTCCTTAACTATAATCAAATAAGAAAAGAGAAAGATACTAAGAAAGATAATTATAGTACTTTAAATAAAATATTTCATATTTTTTATAACTAACTAATAACAAATTTATCTAACTTCCTTAATATAATTAAAGTAATCTTATATTAAGGAAAAAATAATAATATAAGTTTACAACTTATAGTTAGTGAAGTAAAATAAAATCTTAAGAAATTATTAAGAAAACTAAAATTAAAATGATCCAAAAGTTAACAAACAGAAAATTTAAAAAGCAAAACTCAAGTCTCCCCAAATGACAGTGAAAGTCGAACAAGTTTATGGAAAAGTTTGAAGAAAATCTGTCTCGATAAAGTAAGTAAGTGCTTAGTGCCTTAGTGGCACCTCAAGGTAGGGTTGCAAGACATCGTTCTCTGCTTCCATTGAAACCCACGCCGCCCAAAAAAAAAGAAGAAGAAGATATTAGTAAGTATTAGTATTATTTTAATATGAAAAATTAAATAATTAGTATTTTTAACCCAATTGACTTTTCATGACCTTTCCAGATACACACGCATGGCACCTATGTGTGATTAGAGTGATCCCCATAGAATTTTGTGAACCCTGAATTTGAAATTAATGGTATTGATATATATAATCTGTGGATAATGCTCCATAGTTTTGTACTTTGTACAGAAAAATAAATATAGAAATATATAATTCTTTTCCCTTCAAACCAACTTCAATATGCATATTTCATTCATCCATTTTACGTGTTTATGCGTATTTTGGAACAGATATCCATTCCCTACCTATTCTACATTTTTCTTAGATAAGAGAAAAATGATACTATATCCGATCTTATTTATGTTCTCCAAATAAGTTCTTATAAATAGGACCGAACATAGTACACTGATTTGGAGGGTTTGTTTAGAGTAATTAAGACCGAAGGAATTAATTGACATATTTCCGCCCATTTGTTCACATTATGACTCCCATTAATTGTCCTTTCATGTTTTGAAAGAGCCATAACCATTAACTAGAATGAGGCCCCTATCTTATCACTGATAACGGACTTTATAATTAATATATACTATTGTGGAATAATTTTTTTTTTCTAAACAAAATTTTGTGCGAATTTTTTAAATTTTATTTTATTAGCACAGTGAGTTTTATAACCTTATTCTACTCGTGTCATTAACTTTTGTAAAATGGATGCTACTAATATAACAAAGTTAATTGATTTAATATAAAAATATAAATATAGATATCTGTAAAATATTTTTCCTATGAACTTCCTCATCCTCTCCTTCTACTACTTCCATCCCTTCTATCTATCCACTTCAATGGACAACAGACTTATATAAATCTTTATTACAAACTCAGCTTATTCACTACTTTTAGTTTAGAAAACACTTACTCTACTCTAAGACAACTCATATTAACAGTTACTGATGACACTACCTAATTGGCTTCATTCATTCACAATGAGCCCAATAAAAATAAAAATAAAAACTTTTCATGTTAATTTTTTTTAAGAGACCAATGCAATAATTTTATACTCAGTAAAGGTTTTTTTTTTTTTGTCGTGCCTCAATTATACTATTATCTGCTTCGGCAGAATTATTTCGTGATTTCTTCTGTGACAAATTCGTTTATTTTATTTATTATTTATTTATTCTTGATTGTGTAATTTAACGGTATTGACGATATTCTGAACAACCAAATACGACGGCTATTCATATGCAAATAAATCATATGAAGTTTAATGAGCAAGTGTAATACTCTTAAATATTAAAATAAAGACCAATTTTTGAATCAAAAAAGTAAATCGACATGATTCCGAAAATATAATTTGCCCTTGTCAATTCTCAAATTTTCAATTTGTACCACTTAAACTTCCAATTTCCAACATTTTTTGCGATAAGAAAATTCTTATTTGACACTGTTAATTTTATAATTAATTATTGAACTGTCATATCCCACTCATAAATATGTGATATGAATGTAAACCCGTATAAAGAGACTAATAAAGTAGTCTACAAAATAAGAGTCGGATTCTTTGAAAGCCACATTCCGGGCCTTGGAAAGTCTCTTTCATTTAAAAAATATTTCGGTGGAAACAAAACTATAATTTTAAAAATATTTTTACGGTGTGCAAAGTAAATATATGGAGGAATTTGTTTCAATTTGTAGAAAAATACTTTTAAAAAGCATTTTTTCACTAATCCAAACACTTCCTAAATCCAAAGCTTACAGCACTTTCTTTGGGTTTGGGACCAAATCCCTACCTCATTATAAATATTTAAAAAAAATAAAAAAATATTTTAAAATCCATCATGTGCTTTTGTTTAACTTAGCTGTTTAAATTTAAATATATTTTTAACATACCTTTTAATTAAATTGAAACTTTTATACAGTTATCCTTATTACTAGGTCATATTCAGCATACATTGTCAATCTTAACCGAGAATAATTTTGTTTAGACAATACTTTTATCAAGTTATTTACATTCGTTATGTTGCATTCTCCAGTCATATATAGCCATATGTCTTATTTTTAAAATATTAGCATTTAATAGCATTTAATTATAAATTCATATGAAAGAAAAAAATAATACATACCCATGTGTAATTGAAAATTTTAACATAATAGACATAAACAACATGATGCAAGTTTTGTTCTTTTTCTTAAATAGATATTCTGCGTTCAAATAGATTCAAATTCGAGATACCAATACTTAAGCAGTTAAAATTCTCAGTTTGAAGAGAAAAATATTATTTAGAATATAAAAAATATATTATTTAATAGAATTTTTTGGGAATTAACAAAAAGAAGCAGAAAAGAAAACAAGTGATGTGAGGTGGTGAAAGGCAAGTGGCAAAATTCAAGGACGCAACCACTGCCATATCATGATAATATTTGAATCGCACTCGTATATGAAAAGAAGGTCAAGCTACCTGCAATTTTCGATTTGAGTCCTTACCTTCCCTTGCTTATTATATTTTATATAATACTATTAAATCATAATTAATGTGATCTCATTATCTTCCCCTCTTAAAAAAGTCCATGTTTATGAAATCATTTCTCATGAGAATTTTATTTTAATTATTTTTTGTGTGCTATATATACAAAAAAAAGAAATTAATAAATAAAATACAGTACGTAATATAAATTTAAACTAAATATCTCAAGCCACTGTAACGGTTGGAAGTTGGAAGTTGGAAGTTAAGAGTTGAAAATCGCAGGTTCACAATTCCATACAACATGCACAGAAAATAACTGAAGAAATATAACAAAAAAACGCAAAAAAGAAATAAAAAATAAAAAGGAAACATCATGGAGCCTAAAAGGATAATCGCGACTTCTGAGATAAAACATGAAATTGTTTTAATTATATTGATGTTTAAAATGATTGGCGCATCAATTTTATGATGATTGGAATATTCAAGAAGAGCATTAAGTATAATATGGTTGAACATTGAAGAGATATATATATATCATCACTACTAATTTATGTGTAAGATTAAAGATATCCTAAACAGAGACATCCAATTGTCATGATAGATGAAATGTTACTTTCTTCTCATCATGCCGTCTCATCAAAGATAAAAAGAAGACTATAGAAACACACAAAACTATCTTTCTATCTTTAAAGATAAAATGTTACATAGCTTTGTGTGTGTGGGAATATATATTTCTGTGAGGAAAAGAAAAAAAGTGTGCATGCATGTGTGATAAACAACGAAAATGAATGGTCATCTTTTTTTTTTTTTAATCTTAGCTTTTATTTAGCCAGAATGAATGAATTCCATAAGTATTTTTGTAAGTTTCAAACTGAGCTCGTTTTCTTAACTACCAGAGTTATCAAAATGAGCTCGTTTTCTTAATTTTAGCTTCTATTGAGTTAGAATGAATCGTCACCAAGAAGATTCCGTGGAACTTGCTATTTGGTTACATATGCTGGGATATCTGGGTCACACGCTGTGAAAAGTTATTTAACCCAGATCAGAATCCAAAAAACCAGACGGCCAAGGACAGCTTTTTTAGAGCATGCATGGATAGAGACCTGATGCAGGAATACAAATGGAAACACGGCGAGGTACCTACTGCAGGAATTCTAAGAACTCGGCATGATGCTGGTTTCCTCCTGGAGTCAGACGGGTCAGTTTTGAAGGATGGCAGTAGCGGCTGTGGAGGAATGCTATGCTTGCAAGAGGGAGGCTGGATTTTTGGATATAGCTGTAAATTAATTTCTATACCCCCTGTGGTTGCGGAAATCTTCGGTATCTTCTATGGCTTGCAGATGTGTTGGGACAGAGGGATCAAGGATATAGCAGTTCACTCAGATTGCATTGAAGCCATTAACCTTCTGGTTAGAGGCTACGACTTGGATCACCCGTTTAGAGACCTCATTGAAGAAACCCGCCTATTACTTCATAGAGACGGGCAAGTTTATCTGAGCTATGTCCCTAGAAGTAATCTGACCTTAGTTGACTTCTTAGCTAAGTCTTCCCACACTATGGAAGGCTCGTTCCGTATTCTCGACCAGCCTCCTACTGTCAACAATGAAATTGATCACGAGCAAAACGCTGAGGCGGTAGCATTGGCGTGAGCTTGTTATTTTTTGTATTCAGTTTTTGATTCAAAAAAAAAAAAATGAATCGTCACCTTTCTTATTTATTATTATTTCCGTTTTTTATTATAAGCAACATAGAATTATATTACGTAGACTAAAAAGTTAGTTAAAAACAATAAACAGGTATAAATTAAAAAAAAAATTCTCCAAAATACCTTTATTTATGAGGAGAGAGTATAAAAAAAAGAATAAGAAAATTATTATAATACAGAAAATTATGAAAGAGAGAAAATGTGTGACAAAGAAAGATGATGGTTTGAAAAATAAGACAATAAATGTATTGAATATTTAAAAAAGTAATTAATTAGAATAAAATAGAAAATTTACTACAAAAATTTAAAACAATTTTTAAATGTTACTTATATTTAGATACAAAAAGAGATGGTAGTTGTTGTTTATAAAAAAATATGGAGGGAGTAGTTATATATGTGAATGATTAATTGCAAAAGGTGGTTGTGCTACACATGGATTAGTTATTTATATCAAAGTACAATAAAAGATATATATTTAAAATTTGAAACATTAATCATTGAAAATAAATCAACTTTTGAGTTCTTCTTCTCCTAACTCAAGGTTGCTGTGACACTATCAGCCTCTGAATACAAAAATGTGTTGCATAATAAAAAAAAAAAGTTGAACATTTCTCTCACTATACGTATATACAAGTCAAAACTATCGAGAAGACATGGATGGTGCAACTTTTCTGAGATTTTGTGTAATATATATATATATATATATATATATAAGGAGTTTTTTTTTTTACCAGCAATATGTTTATATTATTACAACTAAGAATTAGTTGTGCTGCAAATAATAGTCCAACTATAATAAATCAAACAAACACGAATAGTATACTTTGCTAAGGAAAATCGGTTACATGGGGAATAAAGAAGAGGTGGCCAAGCCTGCAAAGGTCAGGTCCGACTGGTCGTAAACGGGAACGCAAGGCGCCTTCCTTACCACGTCATGGGCTCGATACCTACGCGAGGCACCCTGAGATTAGTCTGGCCGATAAGCTGGGATACCCTGAGTTAATGATACCATCCTACTCAAAAAAAAAAAAGAAGAGGTGGCCAATGATATTTAGCAGCGGCGTTTCAATATTTTATTTAAAAAAAAATTAATTTCCCAGAAATCAACCGACACTGCCGGTCAAGCCCGGGGCGCAGCAGCGTGTGAATTTCATCATTTATAAATACTGCGATGTATAGCTTCTTTTCTTATAAAACTATTACTACAATTAATTGATTAATTTGAATAAACTAATAAAATTTATTAAGTTAGTTATTTGTAATAAATAAGTATTATCATTTCTAAAATATTATTGCTAATCAGATGTATTAACTAGAACTATCATTTAATGAAATCTTTAATACTATCTCCTATCTTTAATATAAAAACTAATTGACTAATTTAAGCATATTAGGAAAATTAATTAAGTTAGTTATTTGTAATAAATAGATGTTGTCTTTCATAAAATATCCTTGCTTGTCTTCCAGGAGATACTCTTGCTAATATTAGTTAGAATTATTATTTGATGGAACTTTTAACATGTACATTACTACAAGAACTATTTTAAAAAAATAGATAAATATGATAGATAAAAATGGATTAGGATCTTATATTTAGAATCAAACTGAAAGTCAAACTAGTTCTTATATTAACAACCGAAAGTAATATGTGCAACCAGAAAAAATAGATAAATATAAAAAAAAATGACTGAAATCTTTTATTTATGACTAAATTAAAAATTAAACTAGCTTTTATATTAAGGAAGAGAAATAGAATTAAACACTATGTGGGGAATTAAAAATATAGACATTGTTTTCTCAACTTTAGATATTACGATCGAACTATTGAGAGATCGTCAGATCAACATGGAGAACTCAGACCAGATGTAAATTTCTAACAATTTTATGATCACATGTTCTACATGGAGATTTCCGTGATGTAAATTATTTGTGATTTATTACTCCCTCCGATCCCATATATAAACTTTAAATAACCAAATGAATTAACAGTTAAAATTAATTAAAAGAGTAAATGAAAGAGATAATAAATATAAAAAAATTATGAAAGAGCATATATGAGATAGTATTAATGTGTGAGAGAGAGGGACTATTAAATATAGTCAACTCAGGGCAAAATAAGAAAAAAAATAATAAATGTTCACACAAACTAGAAAATAAAGCTTATATTTTGGACTAAACTCTTTTTGAAAAGTGGAGCTTATATATAAGAGCTGAGGGAGTATAAATATTGCAACTTTTGATAAAGTTTTACAATATATATTGACAAAAAACATTTTAAGAAATATTTAAAGCTGTAAGGTGTAAAAATAATCTGAACACTAAAAAATATATTAAAAATAATATAAAATAATATGTTAAGTTAGTTATTTATAACAATTATGTGTTATCTTCTCTAACATACTTTTTTTGTTAATTATATGTATTAGTTAGAACTCACACTTGATAGAACATTTAACACATGTAATTATTATAAGGATTACTTTAAAAGAAAATGAATAAATGTGAAAAATAAAATGGATTATGATTTTATATTTAAAACCAAATTAAATATCAAATTAGCTCTTATATTAAGAAATAGAAATAATAATAAAAACTCTACAAATCATATACTTTTTTCCGCCACTTGAAAATTATAGCTCACGGGTTGGAATTACTCTTTTGCGCAAAATTCTAATTTCAATTTTAAAGTCTACGTATGAGCTGCTGTGGTGGCATCATATAGAAAAAATGACAGAAAATACCTGTTAAATTTTTAAAAAAATAAATAGATTATATTAATTATTTTTGTAATGGTTTTAACTATTCTTATAATAATTTTAGCAAGTTAAAATTATCTATTTATCATTTTGAAATTCAATAGATTTTTTTGTCATTTTTTCAATAATATAAAAGATTACTATATTGCATGGTTTCTTGGAATGAGAGCAACATATGCTTGGGCTCCAAAAGACAGCCCAATAATATTAGAGATCCAAATTTATTTTTGTTAATTAGGCCCTTAACATATTAATTGGTTTCAGCGTTCGGACCATCGTTTGTACTTTTTTTTTTTTGTCAAAGACCATCGTTTGTACTTTGTATGGGCAATAATATTTGAATCATAATCACTGCATTTTTGTTGTTGTTGTGATTATGCATTTTTCTTGGGACCTCATAGCACCGTCATTGAATTTTTTTTTTAAAAAATAATTACAAAGCACAGTCGTGAAATTTTACTCTATAGATTAACACATGATGGGAACACCGGAGAAAGGCTATTGGGAGGAAGATATAAAAGCACCCCAAAATATGTATAATATAAATAAGTTCCATAATTGGTCTAATTCTTATAAATTCTTAGGGACTTCTTTGAGATAAATTTGTATCGCCAAATGATTATATTGCCCTTTTTTTTTTTTATGACAGAAGACAAAAGCTGTCAATTCTGAATATTGTCTTCATTTCATAAGATTAAAATTTTTATTTTTAAAGTAGAGTAGCCATTCATTACTAGGTTACCCCTTGCACTTAAAAACCCGATCAAACTTTTTAAAACAATACTTCTCATTGCAATTTGCAAAAATTTTCTTGTCATTTTATATAATTAAAGTTGTTATTTTAAAAAATGAAATAGTCATTATCACTATCGATACTTAAAAGTTCAAAATAACACTCCCTCTAATTCAAAACATAAGCATCAAAATTTTGAAGGGGTTTTGAATTTGTCTTATAACTGAATGCTTTTTTTTTTAACTCCTAATTAGTTATATGTCTTTCTTATCTGTTTCTTTACTCATTTTTTTCCCACTTAAACAAGGATATTTTAAAAAAAATAAGTTACATTTTTATATATTGTCTTTAACCAATTTTAAATAAGTTTTTGAGTTGTTATTATTTTATATAATTAAAGTTATGATATTTTTAAAGTGAAATGGTAACTTATTTCCAGGTCATCCCCTCCCATTAATTCCTCAACAGCTAGAGCTTCGTGAATAAGAAGACCCATAAATTCATTGTACTAAGATTGTAAATTAAAATGCAGCACCACCCCCATAATATAAATGAATACCCCCACTTGAAAAACAAAAGATGGGCCCACTCCAGGCCCAAAGAGTTTAGCCCACAACAGGGTTTTGCAACCAAAAGAAAAATCATGCAAATGAAATGAAAAGGGTTAATTCCTCTTAGCATAGTAAATCAAGATTAAAACTCATATTAAAAGAAATGCTCACATTTAGTACTCAATAATATTTTAGCATTGCACTCATAATTGATCTCTCTCCTCTTTTTTTCAATAGACGACGCATATTTGATGTCTAGTTGAAAGGAATTAATAGCTAATTTTTCATAATTGGACAAATATTCTTTCGAGTGCCCATATATCACCAAAAATTCTCTCTTTAAAATTCAGAAGCAGCTAAATTTAAAATTCATAATCTCATTATGGGAATTTAATTCGGTTACTCATTAATTAGATAGCGATGGCTCTTGGATTTAGATTAGAACAAACCAATAATATCCAAATTCCAACAAAAAAGTGCGCATAATTAAAATGATCAAACAGTGCAATTAAACTTTTATATAATTTTGCATATTTGTTTAGAGTACGTTAATCTTAATGTTCTCAACTTGATAAGGACTAATTTTAGGTCCAAAAGTGACTTGAGGATACCAAAACTTTTATATTATTTTTTTACTAATTAAAAATTGATTTTTCAAAAAAATAAATTTATTAACGAACACGGAGGAAGAATATTATAGTTACATAATCAAACCAAATATTTAATCAAAAGAACAAACCTAAATCTATTAGAATTATATTTACATTATTTAAAATAATATTAAAATTAAGAAATGATTAAATCTAAATAATTTCATTCCAAAACTCTCATGATTAATTTTTTAAAACAAATTCTAATTTTTCAGAGGGGCAAAGCCGACACAAGTGAGAGAGATTTTTGTGTTTGTGGTGGCCATTGGCCAATGCGCGTGACTGTTCTCGCAGTCACCAAAGTCGTTTTCGTGGATAATAATAATATAAGGACAGCGCATTCAAAACAAACTACCAAATCTTGTGGGTTTGTCTCTCCACATTAAATACCCATAGTTTATAATTTAAATTCCCATTAAATTATCCCACATATTGTTATTCATTATCATAATTCTTATTGTTATTATATAAAAGCAAAACAAGCTTCATTTTTTGTTAATTCTGTACATATTATAGTGTGCTCCTATTATGATAGAGATAATATATTTAATAAATTGATATAATTAAAATTTCAAATTTAATATCTGTGGTTCTTTTTAAAATGTTGAAGGATTCCATCACTAGTTTCTTTTTTTTGGGCGCTGGCTAAAAAAAAAAAAAGTTCCTTCTTGTGGGCCAAACACCTGAACTGAAGGACGTTGACGTTTATATGCATATTTCAAAATTGATAACGACTTTGATAATTTATGTGCACTATGCACACATTTGAAAAATATTTCCACGTTCGACCCATATTCATGTGAAATCTTAATGCATTGTGGGCTCACTAAAGCCTAGAACTTTTTTTGGGGGAAAATATTATTATTGAATGAAAGTAAAAGTAACAAAAAATAGCAACGGGATTGGGTTTAGCATAAGGGGCTAGCTCCTCACAACGTGACGAATCAAAGTTCGAATCTCTACTGGGAGAGGTGCCCACATTTAGTTGCTGACAGTGCCTCGAATAAGATTGTCTCTAATAGGAAGATACCTATATTTTAGCAAAAAAAAAAAAACAAAAAGCATCCAAAAATATCTATAAAAATCAACGCACGGTCCTACAGCAATCAATACCAATATTACTTCAGATAAAAGTATGCAATAAAAAATGCCATATATATATTTTTTGGTTTCTCTTTGGTAAAATTCATTTTTAAAGGATAGGAATTAAATAATGAAAGAAACTGATTGGTCATATGTGAAGCTATCACTTTGTGGTAATAATTGAAGAAATTGCCGGTTCATCCATGCACATGGATTATATGATGGGGCCTTCATTATTTTCTCAGACCATTGAATACTTTCAGGGTGGTGGATTGAACATGATCGAATCATATTTGTCTGCGTCCACTGCCGGTAAAGTCCGATCACGTTTTGTCTGTAAACAACACAGACCACTCACAACTAACAAACAAGCATTACACTTTCAGCTTTCTTCATTTTGATCTATTGGTCGCTTTCCCTATGGAAACGGAAAGAAATTGATTATTGAACCGATAAAGAAGTGTTTTTCTTTTTTTGGGTGGGGAAAAGAGGTAAAATCCCATTGGAACACGAACCTGGCGCCCATTGGGCAAAGACAATCCATATTCTTGCTTCAGAGCTGGAGATAACTGACAAAGGTGCCTAAAAATTTCAATAAAAACCTAACTTTAACTATTGTAAATCTGACGTTATAATATTATATAAAGATTTCAAAGCCTCCCAGGCTACCATGCTTTGGGTGAATCATTGTTTGGATAAACCAACAAGAAAGTCAAGCGTTGCACCGTTAATTAATTGAATTTATTGATCCTATAAGTCTCACTCACTCCCACACACTTAATCTCGCAATCAAGCACGCTCCTCACACATTAGCCCCACCTACCACCAGCCTCTTGCACAGACATTACTGTACTATGATGATGAAATGTGTAGCTGGGGTTTATTCTTGATCTTAAATCTTGTAAAGAAACAACGAAACTATGCTTTCATAAACCTCATGTCTGCAAAGTTTTGAGCTTTAGGTCTAAAAAGGTGAAAGCTTGATTTATCCCCACCTGATCCATTCTGGTGTCCTTACTGGAATTCTTTTTTCTCTTTTAATATTGGTGTGTCTGCTTTACTTGCAGAGCTCTATTAAGACTGTTCCTTACTGTGATATCAAGTTTCCGCTTCGCCAAATGCTTCTGGTTTCACCACCTTCCCCTCCTTGGGTAGTTGGTGAAAGTTGAGAGATCTGCCGACTTGAATCTCTAAATTCTTCAGAATTGAAAATGGGGTTGCAGCTGACTATTCTTCTCTTTATGCTGCATTTAGTTTTCAGTGCTCCACAACTTCATGAGTATAGAGGTATGAGCTTAATTGTAATGTACTGTGTTGTTATCTACAATGAGAGCGTATAATTCATTCTATACTTATTCAGATTTCAGAACTTAAACGCGAGATCTTCTTTGTAAGTATTCCCTTGGGCAAATTGTAAGGACAGGAAATCAATAATTGATCTATTCTCTTAACTTCGACGTCGACATTTGGTTCTGATATGGGTTCGTGACTTCCTATGATGATTTTCTTCCATATGATTGTAAATTGAATGACTTCCCTGCTATGGCCTATTTGTTAATTTTACATATGCTAGCTTCTTTAGATTGTTTTCATTTGTCTTTGATACAAACTTTGTCTGTCGAGTTAAAGTTCAGAACGAGTTGATGACCATTAGCAAGGTCTAAAAACTTAACTAAATTGAAGTGTTTCATGATGGATTTACTATTCACCCATGGCTACCCTTTCCATTAGGGTAAATTGTAACTTCTTATCTGGAAAGGCTCATGTCCATAGCAATTTTAAACTGAATGAACTAATTTCTATATGCAGCCACGAATCTGCACCATTCCAGAAGTCATTCAAGTATTGCGCTTCCACCATCC